TCCTCCTCATTCTGCACACCATCCTCATCAGCTTGCATCTGAACATGCTCAGCTTCCATCCGAGCATCCTCATCATCCTCATTGTCCAGGTAGTCTAGAGCTATCTTTTTTAGAGCTTGATCTCCAAACTGAGGATAAAGAGAAAAGGCCAAGTGTATGAGGAGGTGAGAGTCATTGAAATAATCAAGGATTAAGGTACTGTGATCAATGTCCAAAAGAGATATGAATCTAAAAGGAGCAGGGAAAGGAATGACTGGTATAAAATTCAATACTTGCTCCTTCAGAAGAGAGGGAATCACTGTGATCATTGGTTCCTTTGGTGTAGATGGGCCTATGATGACAAACTTCACTATAGGTTTGGGAACTGCAGCACTGAACACAGGAAGCCTCTCTATCACTACTGGCACATACAACCTTTTAGTAGCACCTGTTACTGCCTGAACTGACATCTGGACATTTTGAGTCTCATCCAAAACTAGATCTTTAGGGGCAGCATGAACCATCCAACGACTGGGGCCATCCCCATCATTTCTCTAAAGTACTGGGCTCTGAGTAATAGTCCTTTCAGTATCTGCCAGATCAGCATCCAAGATAGGATCTTCAGGTGCAAGCTGCTGCTGCCAACGATTGTGGCCTCCACCTTCAATGTCCATGTTCTCCCCATTGTTAGAGCCTGCTGGTGTGGTGTCTGAACCTGCAAGTGGAATAGTCCCTATCCAGCGAGGAGCCTGAGGTGGACATGGGTGCAACGGTCCAACCATCACAAAGGCTTCTTCATCCATCAGCTTTGCAACACTCTGCTTCTTCAAAACAAAGCATGGAACAGTCCAAGATCTACCTTTCTATGGCAAACCTGCGTTAACCTTAACCAAATATGGGATTTTGGCATCATCATTTAGATAAACTTTAACTACAACTCTAGCTAAACTTTCCATCTCATGCTAGTCCACCATGATTCCGAACCCAGACACTGCCCCTGCAAGGACCGAGGGGACAGCAGCCCACTCAACCTGGTCAGACACCATCCCTGCGTCGCACAACAAAGACAAGACAACACCACCAAGCGATGGCGGCCAGTACGGTGACCCACCGTCCAAATACGGCCCGATGAGATGGGTGTACGACCCTACCCACTATGTGATGGGGTTCACGGCAGCGGCCTTGACTTTGAGGCCATCCAAGCCAACGAAGGCCACGACCCCGGAGCTCGGGATCGTGGCCACCAGCTCCACAAGCACCAAGACGGCCAACGACCTGGGGGTGGCTACCAACTCCCGTACGATGCCCCCGGGAGATTAGGAGGCGATGACGAAGGCCACGGTGAAACCACGTCGCACTGGACGGCTGGCGAATCACCATCGTGCTTACAGTGCCGCTATAATCGGCACAGTAGCACCACGCCACACCATGCCGCGACGTGGGCACAAGGCTATGACGACAACCACGCCCGGACGCGCGCTACACCAAGTCAAGACGGCGTTTCTTGCAAGCCAAGTTAGCTAGGTTCCCTCCCTTAGGCTCACGACCCTCGATCAGGAGAACCTCCTTCTTTGTATGTGACCTGGCTTCGGACTCTATATAAGGCCAGCCAGCCAGAGCATCCTTCCAAGGCATCGGACTCTCGAAACTCTCATTCGGGCAGTCCATCCTCTAGCTTTAGCTTCACTGTCCTACGTCTTCCACCGTTCTTGCACCCCCATTGTAAGAACTTTAGAGCATTCAAGCGAAGAAGGCGCACTCGATCATCTCTGAGACTGGATATAGGGCTCCGGCCTGAACCAGTATAAATCATCGTGTCTTTTGGATGCTACCATCGTTTTTCTAGAGCAGCGCGACAATCGTATAAATTTACTAGTTGGTCTACACCGACACCATGACTTATATTCTGGGACATGGATTAATTAATAGATCAACAATTAAATCATTGACGTAGGTAGTTTACAGGGACTACTCAAGTTGATTTAGATGTAAAAATTTCTCTAAAAATCAAGATTTTTCTTTGATATCTCCAATGGGGGGTAAATTTAACAAAGGACAACCTAATAAACAGTCAAAAGTGTTGTTTTTTAATTGCTGTAACGAAACCATTAAACATCTTTTCTTTGATTGTCATCATGCCAACACAATCTGGAGGACTGTTCATATAGCTACTGAGTTAACCCCTCCTAGCTTTGGGAGTTGGCTATCAAATTTTGATTGAAAAGAGAAGAAATATATTATGGTTCAGGTAGCTGCATTATGTTGGACAATTTGGAGATGTCGAAATGATCTAATCTTTAAAAATTGCAAATATATTATGGTTCATATAGTTGCATTATTGTTGCAACATGATGATGAAACAATTGAGTCTTTTCGGTTAGTGAGCAGAAAATTAGAGACCACTGCGTTGAAGTTATTCACCTCTCACGGATGGAAATTTAATAATACTCGATTATATACAATTTTTGTTTTTCTTGTTTTCCTGATTCATCAACAAATACCTCTGAAACTATGTAATTAATAATGTAAGCGTTGAATGCGGACACGTACAGGCGCGAAGTTTCTTCCAATTTCTAAAAAGAAGGTCTACTCACTAGTTGCGCCACTAGGCGTTGGTACGATGATTGTACAAAGTAAATTCTTTAGATACACTGATTCTATTGCAGCCACTTTCGTAGCACAAGTCTCTCTTGGATTGCCGTGTCAACCAGCTTGTTTTCTATTCCCTTTGTCCCAAAATAGATGACTGCTTTAGGCCTGTACATGGAAATTTTTGAGAAGTGAAAAAGGTGCAGTGCATAAAAAACTATAAGGTAAGAGATATAGAGAGATGTATTGGAAAAAGAGAAATGTATATTCGAAAAGAGGAAGGTGTATTGGAATACTATAAGGTCAAGTAATTTAAACATAATTTGAATCATATAAAGTCATCTATTTTGGACGAATGGAGTAATGAATACACCAACTTGAGAGGGTGGTACACTTGCATGACGATTGGCATGGCCACCTTGCAACCTCACGAAGACTTAAAACTTCTCTTTCTTTCTATAGTAGAAAATGGTAGAACTATTAGACCAAATAATTGATAAATCACCAATTAAATCATTGACGCAAGTTGTTTACAGGGACCACTCACTAGTTGCGCCTCTGGGCGTTGGTACGAGGATTGTACAAACTAAATTCCTAGCCGCTTTGATAGCATAACTCTCTCTTAGATAGTTGTTTTCTTCACCAACTTGAGAGAGTGGTACACTTGCATGACTATTGACGCTTGCTTGACTATTGACTTGGTCACCTTGCAACATCACGAAGACTTGAAACTTCTCTCTCTCTTTTCTAAAGTTGAAAATGGTAAAACTGTAGACCAAACATTCAAAGTTTTTATACACTTGGGGGTTGGAATGTACACTCTCATCGGAGAAATGTTTGCCAGATGCATGGCTACCCAACATCTTTTGGTCTTATTTAGATGCACCTGTATTATCCATCTTATGAATCCATGTATGTTGAAGTTGCTTAGAGTAAAATTTAGTTTAACTTTTACCCTGATAAGCGCTAATTCTGGTATTCTTGGTGTGTTGTATCTTTCGTGTTGCGTTCTCAAGGTCTGCCTGGCAGCTTGCGGTCTTGCTTTGTTCCTATACTATGTGCTTTTACTTAATGAAATACGTGGACACACGTAGATCGATATAGATATGAGTACATCCAAACAAATCCTCAGGTAGCATATTCTTCAAAGTAGCCAGATCGAACGGAATTTTCAAGCAGCCAATATATCTCAGAAAAAACTCTTTGGCACAAAAAGCTGTCCGGCGATACCTCCATAGACCGACATGAGGCCACTGAATCAACGCCATCAACTTATTATAATTACAGCCGTGATAGACTTATACTCAATCCATCCCAAATTATAAGACGTTTGACTTTTTTGACACCAAGTTTGACCACTCGTCTTATTCAAAAATTTGTGTAAAATATCACTTCTTTCGTCGTGGTTTGGTTTATTAATAAAAATTCTTCAAGAATGACTTAAATTTGACTATATTTGCACAAATTTTTTGAATAAGACGAGCGGTCAAACTTGGAGCCAAAAAAGTCAAACGTCTTACAATTTAGGATGGAGGGAGTATATATACTCTTACATATAGTATACACTGTAATACGGAGTATATATAGTACATATATATATGTATCATCAAATGATGTGAATCGGCCAGCGAGGCTAACCAACTAACTACACAGCTGCTCTAGTTCGGGAACCGGCAGTCGCGGCGTATCTCGCCGGTGGCTGCCGTCTTGGCCCCGATACTGCCGAGCTTGGTGATCGCCGCCACGAAGTCGGCGAAGAAGGCGCCCTGGTTGGACGCGTAGTTGTCGACGGTGCCGCGGGACCTCTGGTCGCTGTACAACACCTGGTCGGTGCCCAGGAGCCCCCTCCCTCCCTGCAGGTTCCGGTAGAAGGCGTTGTCGAAGCTCACCGGCGTGGGGTCGAAGAACGCGAAGCCGCCGCTGTGGTTGGAGCTGCAGGTGCTGCACAGCTGCGACGCCAGGCCCTGGTCCATGCTCGGGTCGCTGCCGATCCTGTCCTGGAAGAAGCTGCAGTTTGCCGCGCCGAGGGTGTGCGCACCTGGTGGATTGGCAAGGTCAGGCCGTCAGTGTGAGCCTGACAATTATTGCAAGGTGGTGAGATGATGGATGAGCAGCAGGCGGTGCCGTTTACCTAAGAGGGCGATCGTTTCAGCCTGGGAGAAGCCGAGGCCGGAGAAGAAGGCGTTGAGCTGGTCCAGGGTGAACTTGACACCCGGCAGCCGGACGCTGTCCCTGGTCGACACCCTGCCGTCGAACCGGCCGAGCTCCACCTGGTAGTACGGCCCGCCACTCTGCAACCGATGCATGCAGAAAAGTTAGAGTATGTTGCATGCACAGCATATGTATGTAACTGATGACAAGATTTTATTCTTTTTGAACGACCAAGTAGCAACGAACGACTGACAGCATGGAGGCTGACGAATAGCACATACCAGGTAGACGGCTTCTCTGGCGGCGAGGGCCATGATGTCCGCGCACGACACCTTGTATTGGCACTGCTGGTTGCTGTCCACGGCGGCCTTGGCGCTCAGAATGGCCTGGAACCCATCCGGCTTGAGCGACTGGTTGGCGGTGTTCCGCCACTCGTCGTCGCCGTTCGAGTTCACGATCATGATCGACGCGTCGCAGCCCTGCATCCGCAGTTCCCATGCATCAGAGACGGCGATCGATCGGCTGCATGCACTGCTAGCGGGGAGCCAGCAGCTGCCCGGGATAAGTAGCATGTGCGTTACCATGACGGCGCAGTCGTGGAAGAAGAGCCTGAGCGCGGCGGGCGCGGCGATCTTGGACTGCGCCATGGACTGCCTGACGGAGCCCCGGACGATGGTCTCGAGGTTGGGGCAGGTGCTGGCGTAGTAGTCCGTCCTCAGCTGCGCGACGGCGGACGGCGGCGTGAGCGCCGCGGACACGACGACGGCGACAAACAAGACCAGCCTAAGCCTCGCCATCGATGAATGAATAATACACACGACTCTCTCTCTCTCTCTCTCCTCCGGCAGGTTGGCTTTCAAATTCAAGCTGTTGTTTGTTGCGTGCGTCTTTCCAAAAGCGTGGCAGCTGGCCGTAGGTAGTTATTTCGTTCGATCGAGGCTGGTCGAAATCAAGCGATATGGTGGCGCGTTGGAACGGAGGTTGCATGCATGGGATTTATAGATGGCCGCCGGCCGCGCACTGGCCCGTGGCTTCCTCGTCCTTTCCAACTGCCAATTCGATCAGCATGATTGAGGTAGACCAAATGTTGTTATTCCCTCTTTTTTTATTTTTTTTATTTACAAGACCCACTATAGTCAAAGACGCTCATACACTTACAATCACCCTACACATATGAACACGCTCACCCTACCACATTTGTTGTAGTAAGGTTAACCCAAACTCCCAAAATACGCCCACTATAGATGTGTCTGTGATAGCGAGATCTTGGTGACTTCGTCAATTTCAAGTTCTTCGGCTCAGTCCGTATTTGGGGCCGAAGGGGACTGACATCAGGGGCCTGCCGCCACCCTGTCCTATCTTTCCACGTTGGAGTGCCACGTAGGCAAAACCGGCTGCCAAAACCACTCCAGGGGGTTAATTAAACGGTTTGGAAAACTTTAAGATGCTTGTTAGACGGTTTCAAAGTTCAGAGAGTGGAGTAGCCGTAGTGCCAAAGGTGAAGGGGTTATCTAGATTTTTTCCAATAAATATATATAGTAGAGCAAAGTGATGACAATATTAGAGGCCAGAGGAATAAAATTATCATTATGGTAAGCATTGAAATTATATCTTTGCATAAAAATATTTTAATTCATGTAAAAATATTTAAGTTACATCTTTTCAAAAAATAAAAAATAATAGTGATAAAATACAATTAAATTTTAATTATAAATTCATGTAAAAATATTTAAGTTACATCTTTTTAAAATTAAAAAAATAATAGTGATAAAAATACAATTGGATAAGGTATAAATTTATGACAAAAATCAACATGCATGGACGAACAAAATATTTAAGTTGCACGGCCAACCTATACTAGTTCAAAATATAGCTATCGATAGCCATCAAGCTTTGTATTAGGGAATATAATTGTGATTGCTAGAAGAGATGAGGTTTCCAATATTTTCATTTGCTCAAAAAAATCATAACGCGAGGTCTAAAATAATCCTACGATTCTAGACACGCGCTCCCCATACGCGGCAACCTCGTATGAACAGAAGAATACTCCTGCTACTCTGCTAGCGATGGAACGGAATTATTGGAGACTCGCTCTCATGACTGACCGAGTCCACAGGGTCACCACCGTCGTCACGTACTTTTCCTGACGACTGACCAGAGCGTCGTTGGTGTAATGGTGTCCTGATTAATGATGAAAACGGAACGGAAATATCCCGAACCGAACCGAATCGTTTTCTATATTTAAACCGATCGAATCCGCATTTTCTTGTCCGACTTTATCGTTTTCGCTTTCGCATTTCAGATGTTTCGTATTTTAAATGTAAAAGTAGAAAACGGTTTAGACATTTTTCGACCGTTTTCTACTTTTCTACTTTTAATTTAAAATATTCCGAATTGAAAATTCGGTTTAAACCGAATTTGGCCAACTGCACAGGTCATACAACTCAATTACATGTTGTTCACCACGTAGCTGCGTTCTTTCTACTGGTGGCCAGCTGTCCTCTCTTATAGACGGCGCCCAGCCTCATCTCTCTTCACCTCACAGATGGTGCTAAATGTCTGGAAACCAGCAGCATCTACACGAAAGCCCACCTGGGCCATAGCCCATCAAGCTCATCGGTTTAACCCCCACCTGCAAAGTCAATCATTTGATAGTTTTTGCATCAGCCGAATAAATCTTTGTTACTCAAAAGAAAAATCTGAATAAATCTTTAAAATAAAATACTACATCTATTCTAAAAAGATTAATAAAATTATTCTGACTCAGTTCGAGTTCATGTTTCTATAATATGCACTTGTTAATTATTATATGCACTTGAACTTGATCATGTATGCACTTAGTCATGCACTTGGTCTACGGGTCGGTATTCCGTATTGAGTTTTCGCATACCGACCGTGTTCGACATAATTCCGCTCGAATTGGTTCGTTTCCGAAATTCTAGATATTCTTTAAGTTCGTGTTCGTTTTCGTGTCCGGCTTGTCCGCTTTCGTTTTCGCTTTCGTATTTCAAATGTAAAAGTAGAAAACGGTTGAGGAGTTCCTGATGCATAAGTCGTCGCCCGACAGTGTGCCAATCCTCCTTCCCAATCCCCATAGGCCGCGCGCCACGCAGTTTGTTCGGAACTTCGGATGGATGTCGGCTGAGGCCCCGTTCGATTATCTTGGAACGGGCCATTCCATGCCAGGAACCATTCCGCGCTAGTACAAATTAGTGAAGGAATTGTTCAGCTAGGAATTATTCCCATGCAACCGAACAAGGCCTCAGGGTGACTCGCTCACACGCTGTAGCGGTCACCGTCGGATCGGGAATGCGATGGCGCTGTGCACGACCTCACGCCGCGTCGGTCGTCGCCGCGCCGGGGACTGTGATGCGTCGTGCCTGCGTGTCACTTAGGCGATTTTGCATACACAGACATACACGGATATGGCCAATTTCTCCCTCCACACACTCAATCAAGATTTAAGAGAACCAGTGTGTATTTCGGCCCATGTGGTCTTAGTTTGCTCGGCTCAAGTTGCATTGTGTTTGTCCCAAATTGAAGCCCATTAGTAGTAGTAGTCAGCACCGGCAAAGGAATTGCGCATGATTTGTTCACAGTGTGCAATTTTTTGTTATTCTTGATTCTTGAAGTACATGATTTGTTCAAGATGTATACCTTTCCTGTTCAACTAGTATAAATTTTTGTTCTACCAGAACAAACTTGAGAATATTTCAGTTAAATAATCATCAATTGATTGACAATCTATCTAGCTAGAAGTAAGGGCCTGTTCGGCAGGACTGAAAAATACTGTTCCGGCTGATTATTGTGAGAAAAAAATACTGTTCTGGCAGGACGTGAACAGTGATTCTGTGAGATGAAAAATAAGCCAGCTGGCTGGAAACAAGCCAGCCGAACACAGCCTAAGTGTTTAATTAGAATTTAAAGCCATTATTTGGATCTAATCATTGATTACTTCTTTCAAAATAAACTACTCTGGCTTTGTTTAAACCACCTTATTGTTGGGGGTGGGGGGGGGTGGGTTGTCGGCCCACCTTGAGTTTAATTATTCTGTTAGATTACGGAAAGAAATATTCTGGCTTTGTTTAAACCACCTTATTGTTATAAAAAGTTACAACTACTTCTAAAAAAAATCCACAACTCACAAATATTAACTCAAAACCTAATTCTTTATCTTTTTGCAGCTTCAGGCTAGTTCAACCTGGAGAGACATGAAGGAAAGTGTAAGTTCTTTGCATGGCTATTAATTCAGGCGAAGGTCCTCACCGCAGATCATGTTGAGGCAAAAAAAAAAAAAGGCCATGTAATCAAGCTGATATGCCTGCTCTATGATCAGACACCAGAGACTGTGGTACACTTATTTGTGCAATGGCCTTTTGTGAAGGTGTGGTTCAAAATGAAAGATTGAGTTGGGTAAATCAGCAAACTTCTAGAATACGACGATTAAACGGTCGATGCATGATGGGCACGCAACATCAATGCAGAGCCAGAGCACATGAACATAGAGAATGAAAGCCGCTTTGATCATGTATGGAGCTTGGAACATCTGGAAGGAAAGAAATTGGAGGATTTTTGGATGAGTTGTGAACACACCATCACAAGTGGTTCCCTGATCAAGTGGGAGATGAGACTAAGAAGGAAAGCATGAGGAAATCAGGCTTTAGATGATTAGCCATTCTGTAATTGTGTTTGAGTTTTTCCGTTCAGTATGTAATCCAACTTTGTAAACTCAGCTTTCTAAACCCAATTCTAAAATTAATTAAATAGCCATCCATAGACAACGAAGAAGCACAATGGATCCATTTCAAGGATCCGACACGCCTAGAGATGCACTCCTATATGTTCATCACACCAGAACAATCGTGCCAAGTGCCGAAGCCAATGTGTCTCCGAGAATTAGACTTGCAAAAAGAGTTTTCGGTCTATATTTGTCAAAACTCTTTTGCACAACCATGCACTACTACGTTCAAACCTATCACAAGCGGTTCGTAAAGCCCATCACTAACGCTTTTTGGTCTCGCCAGTAAGCTATCGGTGGTGATGACATTCTCATCACAGACGGTTTGCAACCGACGGTGATAATAGCTTATCACAGTCGGTTCGTATTACCAGCCGGCGGTGATTTGAATTTTTAAAATTCCCAAAAACGGGCCAAAAAATGAGCAAAAATTTTTGTTTCAATCATGGAAAGCCCCCGTTAGCTCCAACTCCACGCTATTTTTCATGGTATGTGATTCTAGGATTCGAACCTGAGACTCTTGTCCTTTGCTCCTCTAACCACTCCACTTCTAGGTCACGTGTGTCTATATAGCATATATATTCCCCTAGTATTCATTTTTTAGAATTTAAAATGAATATTTAGAACATAAATAGCTTCAGATGAAAAAGTCATAAACTATAAATATGTTGTTCTAATCGAGATCTACAACTTTGATTTTGGTTGTTCTACCATCTGAGGTCGTTTAACAAATTTGAATTTCAAAACGTCAAAACTTCAGCCAGACTTTTAGGACCTCAAATGATTTCAAATGAAAAACTCATCAACTACAAAGTTGTTGTTCTCATCGAGATCTACAACTTCGGTTTTAGTCAATTTTTCATCCAAGGTTGTTTGAAAATTTTGGTTTTTAAAATTTTAAAACTTCATATACAAATTTGAGACTATAAATGATGTCTAATGAAATAACTGTCAACTACAAAGTTGTATATCTCATCGAGATCTACAACTTTGGTTTTGGTCGTTTTCCCATTATTGGTATTTCTTAACGCATACAGAAATAATTCGCAAGCACATGGA